TGGCCGGACTCACACTCCTCCATGGCGTCCAGTTCCGCATCCGTGAAGATACAGCCAGTTTCAGTTTGCTCGATCTCCTTGCTCGGTTTGGCATCCTCGTCCGTGTCAGCCTCCTTGTTCCTGTACGTCATAGCGGCGCTAGGTCCATCAACACTGCTTACCCCTTCCGCACGCATCCTTCGTTCCGGCCGCGTCTTCTGCCCCACAGGCAGAGTCTCCACAGAAACCGTGACGCCGTCGACAGCGAAGGTAGTTCCCACCGTAGAGGCCACCTTGGATAGATCCACGGCTACCTTCTCACACCGTTCCGGGGCGTCGTTCACCACGACAAGTTTTCCCTCTTCTTCCGTGCCTACTATCCGAATACCCCTCTTTTCCTTCGACATTTTCTCCTTTTCCTTCGTCCTCTTCTCTTTCTGCACCACAACAGCCACCGCGCTGTCCTCTTTCCCCGTCACTGCTACCTCTTCATCAACGTCCACTGTAACGGCCTTGTCGCCTCCATCCTTCACTCGGCCGCCACTCGAGTCATCCACTTGACCAGAGGAAGGAGTGACTCGTTCTTCCCCTCCCTCACGCTCCCGTCATTGACGAAACGCTTCGGCCGTCGACGCCTTCAGAGTCGTGGCCAATCCCTTCAGAGTAGCGATCTCGGGACACTGAAAGACACTATGACCGATCTGGTGGCAGTAGAAACACCGCATCGTCGAGTTTCCTCCTCCGTTTCCACCGCTAGGCGGGCCACGGGCCCCGGTATACGGCATCTCACACTCAGCCACAATATGACCGTACTGGTTACACCGTCGGCAAGTCATCGTTTGGCGCGAACACGTCACGCGAGTGTGACCCTTGTAGTCGCATCGGCCACAGACAGGTTCTCCTTCTTGCGTGTGGGAATCCTCCGCCATCTTGATGCCTCGACGGGCACATTTACCTCCGAACGGACCAGCTCCACCAGCGGGAGGGAGCTGTCCGTGGCCTCCGGAGCTCAGCACCACCGCCGATACAGTAGGCACCGCAGCCGGCGGCACGGACTGCAAATCTTCCATCACCTGGTGTTGCCATTCCTGCTGCTGCAACAGGAAGTCGTCCAGCTTCTGGGCTAGAGCGTTCACAGTCGCCGTGTGACTATCAGTCCTCGCCCGCGACTCGTTAGGAAATTCGTCGTCTTCCTCCACAGGACGATGCATGTCCTTAAACATTAGCCACTCGCACGCCTCCGGAATATCTCGAGCCGGGCTTGAATCTAGAGCAGCCAGCATCCTCTTGTTCTTCAGGCCACGACGGAACAACTGATACCGCATCTGAGGATTCGGATAGTCGAGGGAGTCGCACCGATCCGTGACTCGGTCTCCCCATTCCTCCACAGACTCGCCACGTTCACGCTTAGTGGAGTACAGTCTCTCCCAGAGCTCGTCAGCCGTCCTGCTGAGGAACCGGTTGTGGAAACGCACCTTCAGCGTCGCGAACGTCTGGATGCTGGAGTTGCTCCACCATCTTTCGGCCTCACGTCCCTTCAGCTTCTGTCGGAAAACCAACAGTCGCTCTCTGTCTGGCAACCGGTCAGTGTGGTCCTCGAACAGCTCCCAGAAGTCGCGCGCCTTCTCCCCCGTAGCCGTGTCCGAGTAGAACATCGGCAGCACCTTCATCACAGTCGACATCTTCGAGGTCCAGTCTTCACGCCTCGGCAGGCGTGACGGCCCAGGCAGGGCCCGGACCGGCGGTCGAACACCAGCACGCGGAGGGGCCTGCGGACCTTGCAGAACCACTGCCGAACGCGGCGGAACGCCCGGGGCGCTCCCTACTAGTCCCGTCCAAGCAGGGCGCGGACCAGTCCTACGTACTCCAGGCGGAGCAGGATGCGTCCGGGTCGCCGCGTTACTCTGACCTCCCGTAGCAGCAGTAGCCGTCCGAGCAGTACCCGTCCCAGGCACGCCCGGTCCCGTGGTCCTGTAAGGGGCCACCGGATTGGCAGCGACCGTCTTCTTAACGGCGACCGGCGGAGCCTCGTAAGGCGGCCGGGGCACGGACGCCGTGTACGCGAACACCGTGTTGTCCGAGGGTGCGAACCCCTTGGACGTCCAGCTCCAGTCAAACGCCGGCCGGTCCCAGCGGCGCTCCTCGGTTCCAGTGTACTGCGGAATGAATTTACTGGGGCTCTTCTTCTTGGCCGGTTCCCAATTCTCGACGAAAGGCTCGTCCTCCTCGTACTGACCGAACACTTCCCAGCTGCCGTGCTCATAGGCAAGTTGGTAGTCGTCCCCAAGAGGAACGTCCTCCTCCACCAGGGGTACCTCGTCCGGGCCCGGCGACACCGCCTCCGTACCGGGCGCCGGCTCCGTTTTCACCTTTTCTTCTACCTTGACCGCGTCTTTGACGCCACCCGTCACCTTCAACCGGCCTTCTCCAGCCGCCCGTAGCTCGTCGCGCGTGCTCTTACGTAGAGCGTCCCGATCAGCAGCGGTTGTCACTCCCACAGGAGCCTTCTCTTCCTCATCTTCATCTTTTACATCCTCCGTCTGAGAGTCTCCCTGACTCTGTCCTTCTTCAGCCGCCTCTCTGGCAGCGGACCGCCTCAGGTCCTCTTCATAGTCGTCTTCCACGTAT